TATTATTTGTAGCATCATTTCATCATTGGAAAATACCAAAAGGAATGGGTTTTTAAAATCTTCTCTGCCCCTATGAACCAGCAGTCATCTGTAATTATAATAAAGCTAATTTTAAAAAGTGCTTTATGAAGTATTTTCATTGATATTATTTCATTTGATTCTCAAAAAACAAACTATGAATTTGACGAAATTCCTTCCAGCAACTGCAATCACGGGAGTAACAACAAGCTACAAAATCAGTATTTCACTGATTCTAACAATGTTGATGCTTCCTTCTCCCCCACACCAAGTTCTCCTGAATCATTCTAGAAATCACGTGTGCTTGTGGATGTAATCATTCCTCCTTATCACTGCTTTTATCTCTTGTTCCGGCTGCACAAGGTGCCTCTTGATGCTTCCAAAATGGGCACCAGGGCTGCTGTAGTCAAACATATCAGACGGGTTGCCCAAGGCACAACTGCCTACCTCTCCCACTTCTCCTTAGGATAAGACAAAATCTCATTCATTCTACCATAAATAAAACCACACTTAATAAAATCTAGTTCATTATGCCCTGTCACACTGTGCTTCCATAGCACCTCCAGCAGGGACTCTGCTTCCACAAGTCTGTACATTCTGTTATGCAGAACTTGCTTTCAATGTCCTAAAGAAATTTTAGTAACATTGCTCTTGAAATTTTCACACTGCTTTTTTTTATGGCAGTCCTCTCTCCCTCTCTCCAGGCATGAGTCCACGGGGCTGGCGCAACAGAAAATCTGGAGAACATGCGTCATGCTGTATTTTCAGTGTTGTCCCTCCCTGTGGTAGCCAGTACCCCTCGGATGTGGCTCAAATTCTTGCTTTCCTCAAGATGAGCTTTGTCCTGTGATGATTATCCCCACACTAAAGCAAAAGACTCCGGACAGGCATGACTGCCAAATAATCCAGACATGGCCAGACAGGTCTGAATCCTAGGGAGAATATAGCTGAGGCCCAAGCTGCACACATTATTTACTCTTCACGATTCCTCTGGGCTCACCTGGAAACCAACACCTTTACTCATTCACAGGAGCACTTCTGGGCTCTCCCTCTAAATACAAAAGTGAAACTCAAAACTTTAACTAAACTTTAACATTTTAGAAAACATATGTGAAACCTGAATGAACTGGTTTGTGACTTTACTGTGAAAAAATTGTTACCATGAATTTTTTTTTTTTTTTTTTTGAGACAAGTCTTATGCTGTCACCCAGGCTGGAGTGCAGTGACGTGATCTTGGCTCACTGCAACTGCCTCCTCCAGGGTTCAAGTGATTCTTGTGCCTCCACTTCCTGAGTAGCTGGGACTATACCATGAATTATTAATATAAAAATCTGAATCTCAGTGTTTGAAGTCCTCACTCACTTGCTTAGCATGAAACCCGGTCAGCTCTTCAACACTGCAAAACTGTTAGGCTTCTGATGATAAAGTTCTTCCATTCCTTTGTGCCAAAGCTCCTTCTTCAAGTGTAGGGGCCCTCCTAGGAGCATGAGGAATGTTTGTCCACAGACATTCTGGCCTGGATGTGTTCTTCTCTCATGGTACTTTTCCTTCAGCAGTTCATGGTCCAACATCTTTCTGGGACCCCACAAATCCATCTATACCCTATACATCTCTGAATTCCAATTCTGACCTGATTTCAAGTTCTTTCCTATAAGGCTCTGGGCCCTTGTTTCAATGTACTGCAACAATCCACGACTGTGAGAAAAAATTCCTAGAACCTTCTATGACGGGGAGGAAACTCCAGAACATGCCATGATAGGACGCTCAGCTGCCAGGGCACACAGAGGAACTCCAGGGGGTTTTATGACCTAGTATCACAGCCCAAGGGCCACAAAGTTACATTAGATAGCTTCTGATTCCAATTTTTAAATTGTCTAACAGAAGTCACTATCCTTGTAAGTGATCAGAAAGCAAATGAAGTGAGATCGTCAAATGCCTCTTACCCCTTAATCAGCTGACATTAATTATATTTTTTCATGGACACAATAATTGATCAAGTGATTCTCAGTTCTCAGTATCAAGAACTATGCCTGGGGCTTATGCTTCCATCACCACATGAGTGGTGACTTCAATCAAAGGAAAACAATCACAAGATTACTCAGAGCACACTAAAGACTAGCTATTTCCGAGTATGGTGAGCCAAGCTCCCCGTGATTCTTCTGGCACTAAAATGGCTTAATGAATCAAAGGTAAATGAAAGCAAGCAAAACAGAAAGGAATCCTAGCACCAAGCCCCAAGGATACTGCTTCACCGGCAAGCACAACTAAAGTTCCTCAAGGTTTGGGGGAAGACCATACTCCACAAAGGCTTGGGAACTTTCCACATCAGTCTCCATCCTCCAAATAATAAAATACCATAAAACCAATCTCCAGGTTGACGGTGGGAAGAGGCATGAGAAGACAGACCTGACTACCAGTTCCTGTTAGTATAGTTTCTATTTTATCACCAGTATGTAAGAGATTCCCATGCATTGTCCTTGAAATAAGAAAATTACAAGCCAACAAAAGGTGCATCACTGGCCTCTGTGATACCTTTATGCTACATCCTGTGTGAATGGTAATGTCAGCTTCAACTGCTTAGTCTCATAAGAAGGATAAGCGGATTTAACTATTTCCTGGGAATTACTGCTTGCCTCTAACATTGAAGAGTCTTCCAAATAGAAACAGAGCTGATTACTTTTGCCAGACTTAATCTCTTACTTGAGCAGTTAATGAGAGGCTTCAATAATCTTAATGACATCACTTCAATAAAAATACCTAGATGTTATTTCCACAGGAAATAAATGTCCACAGACCATAAACTTTACCTGGTTAATAGCTAACCTGGGAGAAAGGTGGGAGTTGGGTTCAGATAAAGGGACACTGTGATGGTAAATGAATTATTCACTCCTCCTTCTGGACTGCTGGCAACTGTCCAAGCCCTCTTCTGGGTTTAGGTGGGAAGAGAAATGAAGTGAAAGACAAAGGTAGCTGGAAGCAGGAAAATTCTCCTGGAATGGGCTTACCAGCTGCAGGAAGCCACTGACGGGTTCAGAATATAAAGAGGACTCATGGCTATAGGAAAGGGCAAATCAAGAGAGGAAAGGGAACTAGAACACAGGATACAAATCAAAGGTACTATCTGGGGAACTCACTCCCTCATGCCTTTCAAAATAGGGCCAATAGGAGGTAATGGCTGGAGGCCCTGCAGGAAGTCTCCACATCAGAGAAATTACCCATGTCAGAAAAAAAGCTCCTACCCACTCCTACTCTCCTTCCCTTTTCCAGCCCCTTCTTTTATAAGGTTAGAAGCACAAGAGATCCTTACAGTTCTATGATTGGCTCCTGAAAGTGCTGCTGAAGATCCCAATGGAAAGCTGAAGTCAAAGTAAAGGGAACGTTATGAGCATATGCATGGAGAGGCCAAGGGAATGTATGATCATCCATTCAACTTGTCCCTCAGTGGGCCCATGGTCAGTCTCCAGCAGAAACTTGAATGTGCTCTGTGTGCCTGCCTTGACCAAGATACACTGGAGCTTTTATGTTTTCCAAATAGAAAAAGGGCTAAATAATAAGATAATCCTAAATCGAGGAAAAAGAGGATTTACTAAAAAGCAATGTATTTAATGCACAGTTTCTGCACAGTTTTTGGAGTTAAGGAAGTTGAAAAATACTCTACACTTATGCCTTCAGAAGTCTCTTGCCTAATAATCTCAGAGTTTCCTTGTCAAGTGTTTCTAAGTCCTCAGCATCCAACAGGAGAAATAATTTTCATCACTAGGGTTCTATGATACATAATATAAAGTCTACGATTCTGTGACTTTCCTGGTGAAACAGATTGGTTATGAAAGTAGTAAATCTTATCAAAACAAGATTGATATATTGCAAAACACAAGATGAAAAGCATTTACCACAATTTTAAAGATCCACCCCCAGATCAATGATCTAGAAAGATTTATAAAATTTCACAAGTTACAAATGACCAAAAAGCGTTGAGGCTTCTCTTCCCTAGATAGATATTTTTATCTCAAAATTGCACTTATATTTGCTGTAACCTGTAAGAGACAGTATATCATATTACGAGCTATTTCCTAGACAGAGCATTGCCCATATGCTGTTAGAGGATCTCTGAAAAAGAACACATAACCTGCACAATGGCATGTGAAAACCCTGAGAATCTGGCCACAACAGTCTAGAAAATATAATGAATACTGAAATGGTGCTTCTTTTACACAGTCTTTTTTGGTCCTACTGAATCCCAAAAATTGTTTTCACATAACATTTTAAATCACATTTAGTATATAAATCAAACGAGCTCTTTAGCACCTTTTACATAAGAAATGATGCTATACCAGTAACAGTAATAACCCATAAGTAAAACAACTACAGAATTAAGTGGTTTTGTGCTTATTTGGGAAATTTAAAAACAGTAAAAAAAGAGAAAACTTTGAACCAATCTTCTTCAAATTAGAGTGAATTCATCCCTCTCCTGGTTAAAAAAAAAAATAGCAAAATAGCAGTTATAGAGGTGATTACTAAAAACAAGCAAAAAAAAAAACCATAGAATACTCTTGCACTTCTGCTTAGAGAATCCCAAGAATGACTCCAGCAGCATGAACTGCCCAATTTAGGTCAAGAGGTCAATTACCCAGTGTCCACATCAAAGGCAGGGACAAGTTACTACTTCTCTCGGCCTGTTCCTGTTTCCTTTGAGAGTCACTGTGTTATGCAACCACAGAAGCAGCCTTAGAGGATGCTGGGCAAAAAATTTTTACAAAGTATTGCTTCCGGAAGCAACTATACCTCTGAACCACTAGGTCAAAACCATCCTCATCATCTCCACATCTCCCAATACCACTCCCAGTTTTCTTGCTACAAAGTGAACTAACAGGCCCAGGAATTTTGGTCCATTATTAATTAGCCAGTCTCTAAGTAACACAAGCAGACTGATAGTTCTCCAATCAGCCAAGAATAGATTCAAAGCATCTTAAACAGAGACTAACCTGGAGATGACTGGTGCTGGGGCTCAGCTGTGGTCTTCCCTGGCCCCGAGCTCTTTTCCAAAGGTTCCCCAGGCACCAACTGAGGTTGGCCTGCTCTGAGGAAGGCCGGGCTGGCTCCTTTGGTCTCCGTGACCTTTGCAGAGGATGGTGGCTCCAAGGTGTCAGCAGAGACGCACCCAGGGAAGACACGGCTCTTTCTACCAGGAGAGTCATTAAGAGCAGCTTCCTTCTCACCAGGCAGTGCAGGGAGCCGGAGGATCCTGTGATGCTGCTGAGGGCTGGGAAGCCTTGGAGACAGAGGCGAGGGAACAGGTAACGTCTGTTTGTGTGTGCTGGCCTGCGAGGATGAATTATTAAACAGCTTGCCAAGAGCTGCTGGTGCTGGGGGGGATGGCTTCTTATCATCACCTCTGAGTTGTGAGGAGTCAGGACCTACTTTGTGGGGCAGATCCAGAAACAAGGACTTGTGGCCACTGAGGGGCAACCCAGCTCTCCTCTTGTTTCTGATTTCTGGGCGAGTGTGGGGGACACTCGTGCGGAAAGGGAAGCCCAGTCTTTTCCCCTCGGGGGCTTCATCTAACTTCTCACTCTCTATCACCTTCAGGAGGACCTTGTTCACAGCCCCCTCGGCACTGGCTGGTGCACTAGAAATGGAGGCTGCTTCCGTGGCTGGTGACTTCCATGACCCATTCCCTTGCCGCTCCTTGCCGCGCCGTCTGGAACCCCGAGCCCCAGCCTCAGCTCCCGGGAGGGTGAGCAAGTCAGCTTTGGGTACAAACTCAGCTTGGGCGTCTGGGCAAATGGCAATCCTCTCCTTACCCTTAGAATGCGTTTTAACTGCTCTCTGTACCTGGGAGGACAGGTCCTGAACTTTGACCACCACTTTGGATACAGGTTTCTGCTTGCAAGTCCGCTTAGCTGGCTTCTGCATCTCATCCTTTTCTGCCTCTGGATGCTTCTCAGGGTCCTGGTGACTTTCAGACAAACCTGTTTGCTGATGCTCCAGCCCTTTCGGCAGCCTCCGAAAGCCATCCTCTCCTGCCTCTGTGGAGCTGCAGTCAGGGGGCAGCACTTCTCTTCCAAGCCCAGTGTCCTTGAAAGCCGTCTCAAAGCTCCCAAAGCCAAGGTCTGTGTCTGGTGTCTTGGGAATATCTGAGGGGCAGCTCTCTCTCCTCTGCAGGGAGGACTCAAGTGCCCCATTCGGGAGCAGATTTCCTCTCCCCTCTAGTAGCCAGTGATTAGGCCTTGTTCTAGAAAGAGGAAGGGAATTGCTGGAACAGATCTGGTCCTTGCCCATCAGAGGAGCTGATTCTCGGCCTCCACGCCCTTTTCTTCTTGTCCTCTTCTGTGGGAGAGCCCCAAAGCTCTCTCTCCTTCCACCAAACCTCCGAGGCTTTTTGTTCCCATGGGTGCTCCTCTTATTGAGAGGACCCACAGGGAGCTCTCCCTGCCAGTTGTCAGCATTCTGGAAACAGTCATCCTCAGGGGCGAGGCTCACGGACAGCTCTGGCAGCTTCCCCTCCTGGTTCCCCATCGCGATCCCCAGGATGTGGTCTGAGCTCAGGAGATCAGCTAGCAGTCTCTCTCTCTCTGTTGTGAGTTTGTACAGCTCAGTTAGAATGTCTTTCGTGGGAGTCTGCTTGAAAAATATGTCGCCTGGATGTTCGTCTGGCTCCTGGCTGAGGCTGATGTCTGACTCCTCCCTGACTTGGTAGCAGTTATGAAAACCTTTATTGGATCTGTCTAGAGTTACAGTGCCCTTGTATGAAAATCCTCTGACTTCCCCCTTTGGAAGATAGAAGCTGATGTAGCAGAGTTCCATAATGGGCTTATGCAATTGGAGGGTGCAATGAGTGCCTTCCATTATGCCTACCTAATTATTCATGCCTTGGAGATGCCGGTTTGTGGTCAGGCTTCCCAGGCTCCAGTGGTGAGGCATGTGATGGTGGCTATGCAGAGAAAGCAGCTGACAGTCATCTCCAGCAATGAGACTGCCTGTTAGAGGAACAGGGGAAGAAAGCAGCTTGTCTAACAGAGTGCATAAATCACACATCAACATAAAATCAAAGCACAAACATGACTTTTCCTTCCTCTCTGGCTGACCTCAACAGCTCAAGGAATAAGACAACAGCCAGATTTCAATCTCTTCTGCACTCGCACCCTACTCCTGATCAGTGGAACTTTTGTAAACTGAGAGATGGGAAAGTCCTCTGATTTCACCCCTAGGATAAAAGTTCCCTTTCCCTACATGGGGTGGGTGGGGGGACTCACTGTGCAGCCTGGATCAGGTCTCTCAACTTCTCTAGAGCTCGGTTTATGTTACTCTGTAAAATAGAGCTTTCATGACTCCCAGAATTCCTTATCTAGGGGGCTTTGAGATCCTTAGAAACCATAGCCGTTTTCATAACTCATATTTGGAATATTACTTTGCAAATATAAGCCTTTCTACTCTTTAAAACCCACCTTCAAGATCTGAGCTCAAATTATCAATTTAACTTAAAGCACAATGTGAGGAAAAAGTCTTAGGCCCCAAATTTGGAGTCAATAGAAAAAATTTCAGTGTAAAAGTTTACAATTTGAATAACTCAAGTCTTCATCAAGTTTTGTTGTTTTCCTTTTTTGTCTTTTTCCTTGTTGTTGTATTGCCTTCTTTTTTCCTTCCTGTTGTCTACTTGAAGCCAAATGGAATGACAGAAGAACAGCAAAAAATCTATGAGGAACTGCTGACCCTGTACAGATTTTCAATTACTTCACCACAGAAATGGTTGAAATTTCACATAATCAGTGAAGGTGGCTGCTTCCTTCTGTGATATGAGGGACCTCAGAAATGTCTCTGTGGCTACCATCCCCACATACAAACTCTATATTTCTAATTTCTTAAGCTATTGCCCAGTCTTCAAGTTTTCCTTGCTTAACAAAGTGCCGCCCACACACTTCTCATTTAAGGAAAAGTGTTAAATGATAACACAGTAACTATCCATTAACCCTTGATATCTTTAGTGAATTATTTTCCTCAGGTTTTTCCTAACTGCTTCTAAATAGCAAAAAACTACAGAAAAGTACATTTTGAGTGAAGGAAGAGAGAAAGGAGGAAGCGTCTGTTAAAAATAACTCCTTGAGGGAGAGAGATAAAATTAAGAGTGACAATGAACATTGCAGATATCTGGTCAAACCAGAATGCCAGGAGACCAGGAGAGGCCTTTCCTCTTTCAAAATTGTATATAGGGCTGCTCTCATTCAAGTAGTCTTGTTTGTTTGTTTAAGAGATGGGTTCTTTATTGCTCAGGCTGGATGGAGCGCAGTGGTGCAAACATGGCTCACTGTAGCCTCAACGTCCTAGGCTCAAGTGATCCTCCCATCTCAGCCTCCCAAGTAGGTGGGACTACAGGCATGTGCTGCCACCACCCAGCTAAGTTTTTGGGGTTTTTTGTTTGTTTGTTTGTTTGTTTGTTTGTTTTTTGGTAGAAACAGGTTTCGCCACGTTTCCCAAGCTAGTCTGGAGCTCTTCAACTCAAGCAATCCTCCTACCACAGCCTCTCAAAGTGCTGGAATTATAGGTGTGAGCCACTGCTCCTGGCTGTATTTTTTAAACTTTTCTAAAATGCTCATTGCTAGCATTTTCTTAAGAAGTACATTTGTAGGAATACTTAATAATTATTGCTACAAACTCTCTGTTTACACCTAAGAATTCACTTAGGAGGTAGTTTCTTATTTTGTACTTTAGAATAATCACTAATAAAAGCGATTGCAAAGCTGTCAATATCCACTGAGCACTAAGCATTAGAAGTTCATTTAACGAATTCTCAGATAAGCTGAAGGGAAGCAGCAGATGAGCTATGCTGAGTTTTGGGAAAATAAAATTATCTCGCTCTCTTCAAGCATCATTTTCCTCTTCCTCCTCTTACCTCCTCAATTCCCATGGATTAGGAGAAGTGTGTGATGTTGGGGGAGAAGTGTTAAAAATTTAAGAATCTGTTCAAAGTCACAGCAGAAAGTTTATGTTGTAATGTCAAATAAGAATATGACTGCATATTCTAAGAGCCTATTCCCTAAGAGAGGGAATTTGTATATAATGAACACATATACACTAACACTTTCATTTTGTTATCTCATGTAATCAGTAGATCTCCATTTTACAGATGAGGAAACTGAAATTCAGAGTGATAAAGGAACTTGTCTAGGAGAATGTGGCTCAGAATATGCAAGTTTCAAACCCAGGTGTGTCTCCCTACATTGCTTCATAGGTCATGTTGCTCTTTATCTACTTCCTTTACTAACAAATTGGTTTTCCATGCAACTTAAATAGAGGAGGGTTTTGTTTGTTTGTTTGTTTTGTTTTTTGTTTGTTTGTTGTTGTTGTTGTTAACTTGGTGTTACATAATTTTTTAACAATGTCTCTGAGACATTCACTGGGCCCAGGTGCAGCAGCTTACTCCTATAATCCCAGCACCTAGGGAGGCCAAGGTGGGAGGACTGCTTGAGCTCAGGAGTTTGAGACCAGTCTGGGCAACATAGTGAAACCTTGCTTCTACAAAATTAAGGAAAATTAGCTGGGAATGTGGTTCATGTATGTATTCCCAGCTGCTCCTGAGGTTGAGACAAGGGGATCGCTTGAGCCTGGGAGATTGAGGCTGCAGTGGAGTGAGATTGTGCCACTGCACCACTGTACTCCAACCTGAATGACAGAGCAAGACCCTGTATTTAAAAAATAAAATAAAATAAAACCCCACACTCATTGTAGAGCTTCAGCATGTATGTCTGAAGATAAAATGCTGCTCCCTAAAGTCATCCCTTAAACAATAAAATCTAGAAAAAGGGCACCAGGAGTTCACTACAGCTGGTATAGAGAGTAAGAAACTCAATGAAGATTCTAATTTAGAAATAAAAGAAGAGAGGGGCTGATATAAAGCTATATCCTTTATGAGAATTATAGACATGTGATGCCTGTTTACAGGATCAAGTCTTGGTTATGTAAATGGAGAAAATGTCATGGTTAGAACTCTGTATGTTAGTCACAGTTGGGAAATTCAAGTCAAGGCTTAGAAAATTATAACATTGGGGGTGACGATCCAAGATGGCCGTTTAGGAACAGCTCAGGATTGCAGCTCCCAGTGAAAGCACAGAGGGTGAGTGGACGCCGCGTTTTTATTGCCCACAGACTAGGAAACTCCCAGGCGGAGGAGCTCCATGGTCGCCAGCGTAGCTGTTTCGGCCAGGGCGGCGGTGCCGGCCTGCGCCGCTGCTTTGCCCCGCGCGGCTGCTTTGCCGGCACCCCGGAGCCGCGGTTCTCCGTACAAAATACACCGGTCTGGGTGCCCTTTTGGCTGGCGATTGGAGCCACGGGAAGTCGCCCACTCACCGGTTCAAAAAGGGGACTGAGCAGAGAACCAGGACAGTAGATTCCAGGGCAAACAAACAGACCCCAGTGCCTCTTCAACAGACGACTGGAACACCAACTTAAAAAAGGCTCAGAGGCAGGGAGCCAGGCGATCAGGCTCCGCTGGCCCCACCCCCACAAAAGAACAGCAACCAGAAACTCTGGATTGAGAGTTTCACAGCAAGTGCAGCTGAACCCGGGATGGTCCAACTCTGTGGGGGAGGGGCGTCCGCCATTGCCAAGGCAACCCGTCATTGCCGAGGCAGCCCGCCACAGCAAAGAGACTCCGCCTCAACAGAGGCGGGCCACCATTGCCAAAGCAGTTCTAACTACACCCATATAAACAGGACTGCAGGGAAGTTCACTTGGCAGCAGGGCGGAGCCCACAGCAGCTCAGCAAAGC